ATCTTTTTCTCATTCCTTTGTCACCACCAAACTTGGGGAAGCCATGGGTGATATAGGGCTGGCTCTCTGCAGCATGAGTATTGCAGATGCGAGATTTCTCGTTTGACTTTTTCTTCTCCTTCAATGAGAGAACTGGAAGTCAACAAGAAACCAAGTCCTACCATGTCTTCAGTTATGGAGCAATTTATTAGGTGCCATCTATATGATCGGCACTGGAGATACAAAGATAATATTGTATCCCAGGGCTCATCGTCAAGCATCTCTCTCTCTTGAAATTTTCATAGCTACCATTGATGTTGTAGGTGGTCACCATTCTATAGTCACTTGTCTACAACTCGCCCATGCCTGCTCTGATTTTCTACACTACTCCCTCCCTCCTAATGCTCCAGCTTGCTTTCATTCATTTGCTGTCCGAATACTTTCCCTAAAACAATGAATTCATCTTGTAATTCCTTTGCTAGCAATATTTCTCCTGTTAGATATAGTGCACTCCAAGTTTCTCTTCAAAGTGTCAGTATCAGTGTCAGTATGTTCAGCTCTCTTATTCTCTAATTCTCCATTTTAAAGTTTCACTTTCTTGTGGTTTCAGTAAAAAACCTTTTCCACCAGTTCTACTCAGTAGTTCACATCTGTTTTCCCAGTCCCCTGCTCCATCCTGACTCATCCCAGTTACCTGCTCTTTTCACCTGCCCTGGTCACCTGCCTTGACCTGAGTCACCCCTGGTCATCTGCTCTGACCTGTCCCATGACCATCCTTCCCACCAAACTACCCACCCTGCCACTCTGGCTCATACCCCTGCTTTAAAATAGCCATTTGGAATTAGCTTCGATGGTGTGGTCTAACCCTAGCCAATAGAGGAACGACACAGCAGTAGGGGCTACCTGCATCAGGAATAAGAACCTCTTCTTCTCCCTGTCCAGGTGTGTACTCGCCATTGCTCCATCTGTGAGATGTACCCTTCTATAGAAGTAAATTGCCTTGCTGAGGAAATTTATATTTGAGTACTATTTCTTTTGTGGCACTAAAAATTTCCATGTAATACTCTTGGGCTCCTGGTATCTACAGAATGTCTGTGGACTTTACTCTGATAACCAGATCTCTGTGCATCAGATCCTTCCTTGTCTACCTGAAATGATCCCCTTTATCCTGTATACCTAATAGTACAAGTTCATTGTGCCAGCCCAACTGGCCTTGAAACTTACTGGCCTTTATTCCTAGCCTCATCACTGCCAAATTGGTCTCACCCTCCCTTTCCAGCCATCTTTAAATTTAGAGCTACAGCTCAAGTTCTGCCTCTTCTCACAAAATTTCAAAAAACTATATCCCACAGTGATCTTGCATTAACACAGCACAGTATTTCTAAATCACTTATTCTGATATTCAATCATAAATATTCATATTTAAATTTCTTGTCTTTCTAAAGTGACTATAAATCCTTTGAGTTCAGTAAGAAAACATTATACTTTTTTGTTTACTTTCATACATCCATTTATTTAATATTTTTATTAAGACCGTATTTTGTACCCAGCACTCTACCAGGCATGAAAAAAGGCTATAGTGCTCTGACTTAGTAAATCCTAAATATTTGTGGCTAAATAACCTTTACCTTTTTTGATACCAAGTGACATATTTATTTAAGAAAAATAACTTTTAAGCTCTCTTATTGTTAGATCATTTGACCACAGGAGTCCTATAACTTTCAAACAATCCCCAGGTATCGACTGTTGGAAGTTCCAACAATCAGGTTACAGATGGGTTTAAAATATATTCACTTGTTTGTATTCTTCCACATTTAATGTAACTTTTGTAACTGCTACTTAAAAATTACCACATTTTTAAAACTCACATTCTACTTTTTTTCAGTTTGGTATAAAATTCTCTAGGTAAATACAATAAAATTAAAAATGATTTAGCTACCTGACATTTTTAATTACAGGGGACATATCCATAATATAAGCTTTTTCAACAAGCCAGAGACTCCCCAGATTTGGCCAGCTATATCAGTAAAAATTTAGGAAGGTAGGTGGTTTATTATGATTTAATTGCATAAACTTCTGTTGAGGGGTTCTATAATTTAGTTTAGAAATATGCCCATAAAAAGAACATTGCAATATAATAAATATTCAAGTCGATAAAAAAATGTCTCTGTGCCTGTTCTCTTCTATGACAACAAACAAAGTGTGTTATAGCCCCAGATGTTTATTGTTTTCTTCCTTTTCTTTTGAGACAGAGTCATTCTGTCACCCAGGCTGCAGTGCAGTGGTGCAGTCTAGCTCACTGCAACCTCCGCCTCCCAGATTCAAGTGATTTGCCCATCTCATCCTTCGAAGCAGCTAGGATTATAGGCATGTAACACCACGCCCAGCTGCCTCAGTCTAAAGTACTGGGATTACAGGTGTGAGCCACTGTGCCTGGCCTAAGATATTTACCTAAATAGGCCCTGAAGGGATAGAGAGGCCATTGGGAGTAATCGTCACAGTTACTGATGAATTTTTTTTTTTAACATCAAAATGGTACTAAGGTAAGAATGGCCGTACCCTCCATGGAGCAGCCATCTATGCAGATTCCATACATCATAATCTGTAGCAGTGACTCTCATATAGCTCTGGATTTGAAGAGACTGATTTTTGTCCAAAAAAAAAAAAAAGAAAGGAAAGAAAGAAAAAAAATTTACAGATAATATCGTTTTGAAATTGAGTCAGACACTGTGAGTGAATATGTACAGAGACGATTTAAGGCTCTGAATAAGGTTACCTTCCTCCAAAGGGAATTTCCTTTTGCTCCTCTCAGGCATCTAAGCTAAGGGCAGATCTAAATCCAACTCAGGATGGAAATGATTCAAAATTGGCCTTCAGTTTTTTTGAAAACTGGTTTTTCCAGGGATTCCTGGAAGCTCTGCTCAGCCTCTCTGCCAAAGTTTGCCTTTCTATTTGGCAAGTTCCTTGTGAGAAAAATAGCCCCCATTATTGGGCTCCCCTCACCTCTCGGGCTTTAGTCCTTTAGATTCACCCTGACTTGGTGGCACGCCAGCGCCCTCACACACGTGTTTGGTACACTTTGTCATCTGCATTACTATCAAGAGGCTTGGTCCGAACTCAGCAGCCAGAAGTAAAGGCTCCTATATTCCCTGCTTTTATCATTACAGTCATTACTAACCTATCTTTCCAGCGAATTATCTTAGATTCATCCTCTGATCATAAGAGTCATTACTAATCTATCTTTCAGCTAATTATCTTAGATTCATCCTCATTAGCTCACTACCTGAATCTCTCCCTCTCCCTTTTTTTTTTTTTTTGTCTATTTTTCATGTGCAGAAAGGTCTCTCAAAATCAGACTCTGTTATCACTTGTTGACCCTGTGATCATTCAGGTTCTGATTGTGCAATTTGCAATCTCATCTTCCTGCCACCAGGACCTCTCAAATCCAGTCTTAAATAGAATTGTATAGCATAAAACATCTTGGAAATAAATTAGTTAAACAGGAATCCCCTTTCCAGCCTCTCTTCCTAAAATATCAGGTAGGAAAGATGCTAAATGGTATCATGCAGGAAGTCATGGAATCGATGTGCCTATCCAGTGGAGGGAAGATACCCACTTTTGGCTTTGACACACCCAGGAAGGTACTCTTTCATTCAGTAGGGGTGGAGCACAACCCCCTCAGGTTGGCAGCAGAATCAAAGGCGTTAGTCCAATTATACCAGCATATTCTGACTAAAGAAGGAAAAGCAGAGCCACTGCACAAGGCAAACAAGAAGAATTGCCTTCCCACATGCAAAACAGAACCATACAGCAGATATCTCTTATAGTATTTTAGGGGAAAGCAAAGTCTCTTTAGTAATATTTTTATAAGTTTAATGCTTCAAGTAAACTTTGAAAATAATGAGTAAAGATAAAGACCTGTCTCTGGATCATAATAGAATAAAATAATGTGGCATAGGATGAAATTGGAATGAAATGTACAGGAAAGAATCAGAATGTAGAAAAGAAGGAGGTGAAGGTGGGGAGGAAGAAGAAGAAAGAGAAGAAGGAGAAGGAGAAAGAAGGAGATAGAAGAAGAAAGAAGAAAGATGAAGAAGAGGAGGAGGAGGGAGGAGGAGGAGGGAGAGGAGGAGGGAACTGGAGGGAAGAAGAGGAGAGAAGGAAGGAAGGGGGAAGAAGAAAAAAAGGAGGAGGAAAGAAGAAGAGGAAGAGGAAAAAGGAGGAGGAGGAGAAGGAAAGGAGAGAAAGACAAGAGAAGAAAAAAAAAGGAAGACAAAGAGAAAGGAGGAGGGAAAAGAAAAGAAGCCCCCCTTACAAACCAAAACCAGAGCAATCTAGACCAAGCAAACACAGAGACGACTGGCCTTGATATGTGGAGGTATGGGGGACAGAACTATCAGATAAGTATTGACTTTCCCTCACTGCATATTGCTTTAACAAAGCTTATTTTTGTCTGGGTGGGCTACAAGTTTTCCAACCACAGCCCTACAATGGTCAAGTGATAACCTGGTTTTGCCACTTGACGCCTCCTCCCTGAGTTATTACTTAGAGCAACTCACACCCCTGAATGTCACTTGTGTTAAAAAGTGAATGAGGAAAAACTGGAAGAGTGTATGCAGAAAACAAAAGTCGTTCTAAAGTGATGGGATTATGGATTATGTTTTCCAAACATTCTTTAATACTATCACATTTTATTTACTAAATAAAGAAATAACAAATGTAAATGGTACCAAAAAACACAGGATCTTCTAAAATATAACTTAAAACATAATAAAATCTTTCTCTTGAATTTGGGATTTTTTTTTTTTATAATGAAAACAGTAACATAATGCAAATTTCTACATAAGAGATGGGGATGGAACACCCCGTGCCTCATGAGAGTGTCTTAGAATTCCATAGGCCTCATTGCCAGCTGGGGTTGGTTCTACTTCTATTTTTAACAACATATTGCAGATTTTTCAACAAAGCAAATGAACAAGACAGTTTAAAAATCTCATATTCTTAATGAAAAAAAAATTTACCTGAAATTTGCATATTCTTCTGCTTGCCGTTTCCATGGACAACTCTGTATATCTGTGATAATCCGAAGGTAGTCGTTCTCTGAATACCTAAAAAGTAAATGTCGATATAATTAGTAAATAATGATTTCATATGTAAATCTTCTTAGAAGATACTTTTACAATCTCATTTTAGTCTACAAATCTTTTTTGATATAAGGTGAGGCAGGAATAATTAAAATCATACTCATTTCAAAACACCAAGAAAATACAATTTGTAAATGATTACTAAGTTGGTTTAGGGATCTGTCGTTTGCACATATCATAAGTGAAGTATAGTATTAAAAACCATGACAGCACACCAGCTCACATATACATCCTGTGGGCATTTCACCTTGCCTTGAAATAACTGACAAATAAATATATATTTGCAGATGTTTGCCATAAATACATAGTCGATAGAATTTTTCAGACTCTCAAGTTCATACATTTACCTTGGAATGTGTAGACAAAAATTTCTTCCAAATAATGATCTTAAGTTTTAATTTCAAACTGTATATTCAACACCGAGACTGGACTGTTGAGAGAGATGTTTACTGACATAATAATCTACAGGTACTGTGGTACAGTTTGAGAAGCACAGAGCAGGATCCCAGTCCCCAGTAGATCTCTCCCTACCTGAAATTCCACCACTAAGTATTAATTCCTAAAGCACAGAATATCCTTTAGTCTTTGTGTTCTCATTTGAAATGCAAATATCCCTTTGAGTGAGAAAACTCTTAAATTTTATTTAAATTAGTAACTTATTCATTAGTTGCCAGCTATTAGTGATCAAAGGCTCTACAACGATGAGATAGGATATATGTTGAAGACACAATGGAGAAGAAACATGAAACCAGACTGAAAGCCGAATTAACAGAACATGATGAAGACGACTGGAAAAGGAAAATATGTAAATATATATGAAAGACTTGTTCTTATTTTTCTAAGTCTTCTTGAAAGATAATTGTTTAAAGTGACTATAATACTATTTCAGGGGGTGGTTATATATGTAGACATAAATGCATGACAGCTATAGAACAAAGGCCAGAAGGAGTTGGGGGACAGGAAGTAGAAATAGAAGTGGTATAAATCATTTGACAACAGACAGCAGTCAGAAAAAGATGCATTCTTCTCATCTAAACCAGCAAAAACAAACAAAATTATGGAAATGTTATCATAGAAATACTCAATCCAAAGGAAGGCAGAAAAAGAGGGAAGGGAACAAAGAACACGTAAATAGAGAACAAACAGCAAGATGGCAGACTTAGGCCCAACCGTCTGACTAACCTCAACAAATATAAATGATCTAGACATACCAATTAAAAGGCAAAAAAAGTCAAACTGGTAGATGAAGGAAGATGAAAAAGAAGATGAAGATGAAGGCTAAGACAAAAATGAAGAAGAGGAGGAGGAGGAGGAGGAGGAAGAAACAACCAATCCACATGTTGTCTACATGAAGCATATTTTATATAAATAAGCAAATATAAGTTAAAAAGAATCATTAAAACAAAATTAGAATGGCTTTACTGATAGTATATTTTTGAGCAAGAAAATAATATTCCTAAGCAAAGAATATAAATGAAAAATATGAGATTAGAGTAGAAATTAAGAAAATTTTTAAAATTTAATGAGATCGAAAGCTGGTTCATTGAAAACATCAATAAAATTGATAAAACTGTTGTCATACTGATTAGAAAAAGTGAGAAAAGATACAAATGACTAGTACCAGAAATGAGAGAGGATGGAGTGCTAAGAATCTTAAAAACATTAAAATATAATAACTTTACGCCAAAATATTTTGTGATTTAGATGGAATGAATACATGTGTTGAAAGACACAAAGTACCAAAGCCCACACAAGAAGAAGTTGATAACAAAAATAGTCCTATAGCCGTTAAAAGCCTATAGCCAATAAAATTGATTTTATAATCAAAATTCTTCCTACAAAAAACAAAACAAAGCAAAACACACTAGGATCAAATGGCTTCAGTGGAGAATTTCATCAAACATTTAAGGAATATTAATACCAATTCTATACAAACTCTTTCAGAAAATTGAAGGGGGTAAGACACCTCCCAATTCACTGTATGAGAAAAGGGTTACCCAGGTACAAAAATAATGAAAAGACATTAAAAAATAAAAACAGGCAGAACAACATTTCACATAAAGATAGATGCAAAAAATCTTCCACTAAATATTATTGAATTGAACCCAACAACATGTAGAAAGGATAAAGCACTGTGACCAACTGAGGTGTGTATCAGGAATTTGGTTTATTGTAAAATCAATCAAAGCAGCTTTCCATATTACCAGATTCAAAAAGAAAACACAAATAATGATCTCAGTACACAAAAGGATTTGACCTGATCCAACATTCAACAATGACAAAATCTCTCAGAAAATTTAGTATCAAAGGGAATTTCCACAACTTGATAAAGAGCATTTTACAAAAACACCTATGGCTAGATCACACTTAATTGGGAAAGACTGAATGATGAATGCTTTCCCCCTAGATCAGGAATGAAGCAAAAATGTCCACTTTCACCATGTCTATGCCACATTGTATTAGAGGTCCAACAAATGCAATAAAGAAGAAAAGGAAAAATAGCCATCCAGATTAAAAAGGAAATAGTAAAACTGTCTTCATTCAGAGATGACATCATCATCTAATGATTGTAGAAATGATGTATACATATGCCAGCACTTGACAAATTATACACTTAAGTGTATAAGTTCATTGAACATCATTTATCCTCAAAAAAAATTTAAATGTTTATTACTAAATGAAAAATTGTATTTTCCATGATGCTATAACTACGATAATAAGCACTATATATCAGTCCTTTTTTTTTTTTGAGATGGAGTTTTTCTTAGTGCAATGGCATGATCTCGGCTCACTGCAACCTCCACCTCCTGGGTTCAGGCAATTCTCCTGCCTCAGCCTCCTGAGTAGCTGGGATTACAGGCACGCACCACCATGCCCATCTAATCTTTGTATTTTTAGTAGAGACGGGGTTTCACCATGTTGACCAGGATGGTCTCGATCTGTTGACCTCGTGATCCACCTGCCTCGGCCTCCCAAAGTGCTGGGATTACAGGCTTGAGCATATCAGCCATTTTTAAGGATCAAATATCTAAAATTTGAAATTTGATTTATTATGAACCTAGAGTATATTTACATTGATATGCTTTTTTAAAGAGTTTCCTGGATAGTAAGTTACTACTTCCTATGAGCTCTCAGACTGCTTTGACCAACATTTCTATAATATCCTCTCTCACATTAAATTTAATTATGAGTTTACATGTTGGTTTCTCAGTCTCTCCCCTCCCCTCAGGACTTTGAGGTCTGACCATTTCTACCAGCACAATTCCTACGGCATTGTTTTTGTTAACCTAGGAAATGCATGTTTAAGTATAAATATATCATGCAATGATGTCATAAACTATTCTGAATAAGCTCCAAGCTTGGATTATGGCTTCCACTTAAAAGTTCCCTCAGCACTGACTTCCACTGACTCTTCCTATTTACACATCTCCCATTTAAAGCCCAGCCCTCCTTCAGTGTATTGCTTGAGAGTTCTCACATTAGAGCTTAATAGGTCATTAGTCAGTTTTCTCAGTCCAATAATCCAATTCGCCCTTCTTAATTTCCCAGTTTCTTAGCATTAAAGAAGGCATGCACATGCGTGCGTGTGTGTGTGTGTGTGTGTGTGTCCTGTTAAACTACTACCCCCTTTTTCTATGAGTAACCCATACATTGACTGTACACATCTTCCTTTTTGAGCTCTCTCAATTGTGGCCAATGTAGAGCTTGCCGGTAAGTTCACATAGAAAATGGAGCAAGGGGGTTATATTGCTAGGTAGTAGTGATCTAACCTCTGCAACTTAAAAACAAAGAATACAATAAATCCCTATCTCTTTTTGGCTGACTCTTGGACTTGAGGGTAATCTTTCTCAGCCCTTTCTGTTGACGTGGCATGGATGTGGGGATCCTCTTGTCCCTTCCTCCATACTTTCTCTTATTAATATGCTGGAGTTGGCTCACACAAGCTTGTGGGAACTGACGGTTAAGTTTCCAGGAATGTTGTGAACAGGTCATTAAACCATTAGTAGCCTGAAATCAGCTGAAATGGGAGCATTTACACCACAGGAATTAGCAAATTTGACAAACCGGGTTTCTCTGCTTCCCCCCTCCACCCGAGCTAATAGTAAAACATGAATGAGCTCACGATAGCTCCTATACTTCTCATCCCAGCTAGGAGCCTGTTGGCCTGGCTCATATCCATTCATTATCCCCATAGTTTGAGCTTCACTGAAGCTTGCTGAAAAGGCCAGGTAAGACTTTGCCACCACACCTAGGTCATCAAATAAGACTGATCCAGAGTGGCTCTGGGTTATACAAAAATCATCATATAACATCCAAACAGCAACTACTACCTTGCAAAATTAAAGGTGACTTTATTACCACCAAAACTGTGTGCAAACGCTCCTGAGTATATTACACTTTTACTTTAGCTTACTTGAAAAGCAGAGATTTTCTTGCAATCATTCTTGCCTGTATATTGAGCTTAGTATAGAACATTAAAATTACCATCTATGGACAAGCGGGAAAAAAATGTGCATTGTAGAATGTGGGTAGTCTAAAATATTTTGTTTTAAACAGCTCCCCATATATTGTAGCTGGTTCCAATTTAACCTAATATTGAAAGACGTCAATCATAATATATCTAAGTTTACTGGTAAGTTAGCCGAATAAAGTGGCTTTTGACTTTATGGTCACTGATATGTAAAACCAAGTGAATACCTTGTAGCAGATCCATCTATTATTAGATATACTTCTGGACATTTTACAAGTGGAAGACCACTCAGGCTACTTACTCCCTGAGATTATGTGTTCAAAAGTCATTTTTACATCCCATCTAGAAATGAAGCTTTATCCTCTGACAGTATAGAGATGGAGACAAAAGAATAAGGGATATCAAAGTGAATTTTCTGCTAAGTGCTTGCCCTTTTTTAGTGAAAGTTAAATCACCAACAGTTTTTTTAAGAAAATTAAGATTGCCATAGGAT